AATTCTCGTGATATAAATTTTAAAATTGATGCAGTCACCTGATTTTTTTTATAAGTAAATTTTTTTATATGAATTGTTATATGATATATGCAGTTATTCTTTTGAAGCTTTAGTAAACTCAAGCATAGAAATGGAATGATAATAGCAAAAATGATGATGTAGAAAGAATTTTTAAAAATGTAAAAGTTGATGATAAATTAACATATAGCATTCTTACAGAAGATTCTTATTATTCAATTGATTTATTTGAAGATCTTTGCTTTTAATGTAAAAAAATTTCAGAATATGAATGTAATGGAATTGGCTAAAATTCTTTAACTAGTTAATAATATTTTCAAACTGATTAATTAACTGATTAAAATTAACTTAAACTAGCCTATAAATTTGATCAGAGTTAGATAATATTTTGCAATTATAAATATTTTAATTCTGATTAGAAGTTAAATTTGATCAGAGTTAAATTCATCTATTTTAACTGGTTAATAACATATTTTAATCAGTATTAACCTTACGCTTAATCTGTCAAACTTAGGATAATAATAATTTAATAATAGGAAATAATATATGAAAAACTACTAAGTTACTATAGAATAAGTCTTATTACAATCAACCTTAGGTTTATAATTTAAATAATAAAATAACTTTATTAATTTATAAGAATAATAAATATGATTGACACATTAAAAAATTTTAATATATTAAAAAGAAATTCTTTTATTGTAGAAATTGTATCTTTAGTGATCCTTAACCTTAGTTTCTAAGTTTTTAACTTAAATAATTGAGTTATTACTATTATTTCTGTCTTTTTATAAGAACAATTTTCTTTCCTATTTATATAAAAATACAATTATAAGAAGATCACTATCTAATGCTATTTTATATAAACTAAATTATAACATTAAAATAAATACAAATAATAAAATATAATTTAACTATAATGAAATAATTAATAATAATATATAAGATAAATATAAATAAAATAAAAATGTTAAATAAATTAAAAATGTTAAAGGTGTTAATAATATTAATTATTATCAATTCTTATAATATAGTAGGATAGACTTTACATGATATTATTAGTTAATATATTAACTATTTTTAACCTCTAATATAATGAATTTATATTACTATTATTGCAATAAATATTATATAATAATTTTAAATAAAAAGTAACATAATAGGAATGTTAAATTTCAAATAATAAAAAGGTAATAAATTTATAATTTTAAATTAAATTTAATAAATTTATTATGTAAAATTATATGATAAAAAATTTTACTACAAAAAAAATCCTGAATTTTCATAAAACTGATACAGCCAGATTATAAAAATCTAAAAATTTACTTTACCTAACCTTATATTAAAATAATAAAAATAAATAAATTTTTTTATTATTTAATTTTTATTTATTATGTTTTTATATAAATTTAAAAAATATATTAATATATTTATAATTTATTTTTATTATAATATTTTAAGAATTTTTATAAAATATATATATATATATTTTATTTATAATATAAAAATATTATTATTAAAATCAAATTATAAGATATAGTGAATCAGACTTATATAATATTATTTAATAAAATAGTTTATTTTGCTAATTATTTATTAAATTAGTATTAGAAATAAAGTAATTAAAGAAATTAGAATTAGTTAAAAAATTAGAAATTTATCATATCACTTTTTTTTTATTTTTATTTTGCTAAATATTCTAGAAACTTAGAATTTTTTTATAAAAAAAATGTTAATTATCATAATTATATATTACATTTAATAAGTATATGACTTAACAAATAAATCTGATTATTATTTTTTTTTTAAGTTATACTAGGATAGTTTAATTAATTATATTTATTAATCTTTAAATTGATCTAATTAAAAAATTAATTTATTTAATAAAAATTATATATATTATATATTTAAATAATTAAGATATATGGTCCAGTGCAAAAAGATTGATACACAAAGATCATCACCTGATTTTCTTGTGTTATACAAAACTTCACAAACTGAATATATGATTATATAAATTACAGATAAGGAGTATCAAAACTTTTCCCCTCTCTCTTCAAAAACCAAAAAAATGGGAAAAGAAAAAAATCAAAAATTTTCACAAAACAATAACCGCAACTTGCGTACTCGTCCTGACTCTCTAACAAAAAACAAAGACGAACCTCCCCAGAAAAAAACAATGACTGGCAGGTCTCTCCAAACTCCAGAAACTCCAGCTAGACCATCAAATGTCGTAACTACTACCAACATTTTTTCAGCTAGTGATATGAGCGTAGACGAACAAGCAGAAGCAGTACTTGCAAAAATAAAAGCTAATAATAATAAAAATAAAAATAAAAATACTACGAACGATACAACTATTTGGCTTTCCAAAGAAAACAACACGCCTGATACAACTGTTACTGGTCCTTTCCCTATCCTCAAACCAAAGGATAGTGAAACATCGGTCCCTGGGATGATAATAAAATGGACGAAGACCAAGCGTTTGACGCCTCAGAAAATTTATTAAACGAAAAAAATGCTAGCAGAAACACCATTACTTTTGAAAGAGTTTGAGACGTGACTACTTTCTACATATACTGCGTCGCAAAGACCTTTCTTCCAAATAAATCCTTCAAAGAAAAGACCAACTAAGCTTGCAAACTCTTCAATGGCGCAGCTTACCCTTTGTTCATTGGTGCCTCCATCAAACCTGACCCCACTAACAAAACGTTAAAAATTGTCCGTTTAGGCTTTACAACTTGAGATGATGCCAATCGTGCAATGGCCGCAAAAATTCCTAATATGGAAACCGTCACATTTTTACCCCTTACTGCACCTGTCCCATTTAAATTCGACCTGAATCTGTCGATCAAGGTCACGGAAATTCCAATCTCGACATCAGAACAGATCATCAGATCTACATTTGTCAGATTCGGTACGATCGTCAGGTGCACAATAATGACGAAAAACCTTTGGCAACAGACACCATCTCATACGCACCCAAAACTGACTTGTCCTTTTTTACTTCACATGCTGGCCTCTTCGTGTTGAAAGACATGATCAGAGTTCACATCTGCTCCCTCACAAATGAGGAAATCAAAACTCGCTTTCTGTACACTCTAAAATTGACAAATCTTCCCAAAAACACTACTAGTAGGGAATTAGAACCCATCGGAAAAGCTGTCAATGCGATCACGTGGGTAATTCCCAAAGCACGATCGAACTACAGAAATCTCCCTTACGTCTTTATGCACTTCAGTAACAAAATTGATCTTGAAGCAGCAAAAAATGGAGATCCTATTGAGTTTAATAACAGAAAACTTATCTAGACTACACTGGATACCTATTTGTGTGCACATTGTTCCATCCCTGGTCATGACTCAAGAAATTGCAAACGCAAAAGACCAAATCCTAAAGACAGACAGACGCAGAACCTATATCAACGTTACAAGCCTACGCAATTCAAAAATTACTCCGCACTTACACCTCGTCCTAAGGTCACGTTCGTACATGACCAAGAAATAATGTTCAATCCAAAAAATCCACACTCTTTCGCTAATAGAACCAAGGACGTCAAACCCTCGGGTAAAACCCCCATGAATCAACTCGACAAACCTAAACTACTAAAGAATAAATCCTCACTTGATGATTCGATGCACGTGAAGAAATCATGATCAGAACAAATGGATGAAACTGACGCACCTTACCGATCAACTAAAACACTAGCACATGAGCTAACAGACACATAAAAGATTTTGAATCAATTGGACGCCATTACTGAAACTCTTGCAAATATTCATAACGACCTCGCTTTTTCAATACACCGTCTTGACGAAGTGGAAAGGCATTTGAATATCTTTACAGTCACACCAAAGAAAGCAGCTGCGCTCAATGAAGCAGCTAAAATGGAAGGCGCTATAGACACAGATACCATCTACGAATCTGAAGTTGATACATCAGAATCCAGAGTTGTTGAACAGGAAAAACATATTGCAATCCTGCATGCAAAGACGGAAGAACTACGAAAGCACAACAAAATAATGATAGAAAAACTAAATATTACTCTCAAAGCTGTCTCTAACATTCAACATATGGTCCTTGACGAAACACACCCTGCCCACATAATTCCAATTCCTAAACTTAACATGTCCAGCGCAATCGACTCTTTAGAAGATAGCATAGAGATCCCTGCTTCAGAATTATTTTTCAATTAATTATGATAGTACAACCACCGAATACTGAATTGGCATCCCTCACCTTCAATATCGCTACCCATAATACTCATTCTTTCACTCTTCCACACAAACAACAAACTCTATTTGATTTATACGTTTTGAATAAACTTGATATCATCGCTCTACAAGAAACTAATTTTAAAAATTCATCCCACACACATTCCTTAAAACCCATTTGTTTTAATAAATTTGTTCTCTTCTTTAATACCGACCCCTCAGCACAAAGTATGGGATTCGGAGTTAGCTTTCTAATAAAGAAACACTTAGCTGACCATGTCTTTCACTACTTCTCCTTCTTTCACTGCATCTACTTGATAGACTTTCAATTCAAAAACAAACAAAACTCCATATCATTAATGTTTATATTTCTAGTTCAGATAAAATACTACGTGACAAATCCTACAAAAAAGCTCTAGACTTAATAAATGAGGCACACCAAAAGGATTTCCTTACAATAATTCTCAGAGATTTTAACGCTGATCCAGCACGACCCTCCAATCCTTTGAACTTGAAAGCCTTCTTCACATCGCTCGATAATCTCTACATAGTTAACAATTTAGACCTCGTCAAGAATCAGAAGTCGTATGATGATCTCATTACATATGAAACAAGCACTGGACGTTCTACGATAGACCACATTTTCATACACTCTTCATTAATTCCTGACCTTATAGATCAGACAGTAGAAAAGGTTGACAAAAATTTATCAGATCACACCATTGTAGTAGCAACTCTTTTCTCAACAACTATTAAACTGTCTTTTACTCAATATACTGCAATGATAAAGCTAGTCTTTCGATACGACAAAATGTCTGAAGACGCATAGTCTGACTTTGGAGCTTCAGTTGACCATCGATGCAAACACACTAGACTTAACAACTTATCCCTGGATAACATACACACAATTCACCATTTGAATTATTATTGGGATCTCCTACAAAAAATCCATTACAGATGCTGCCATTAAAACTATTCCTAACAAATAGACTTCACATCACACCCGCGATTTTAGACCACACTTTCTTAAACTAACTTATAAGCGTATCAAATTAATTCAAAAACTTTGCAAAACTAGTGACAAATGCATCAAGGACAACACTGTAAACCCAAAATGGATTACCTGGTATAAAAAAATACAGGCCTTCTCAACTGAATATACGATAACACTTCCAGACAATAGTCAACCTTCGTTACAAAACCTTAAGGAGATTCGTCCCTTATTAATCGATCTTTGAAAAATCCTATACACCGCTGCAAAATTAAATGAAGCTGAATTTAAATCCAAAGCCATTAACGATGCCATCGATAGACGTTGTAATAACTTTGTAGATGACCAAAAATCCATGTTTGATTCATTACTAGATCGTCCTCACACTACCATTACATTAGACAGATGCATAAACAACAACAGCCCTGATAAAGAACTTCTTACGGATCCTGAAGATGTTCAAAATGAAATGGCAAGATACTTTCAAAGAGTGGTTGGCTCACAATATTCTAACCCATCTCTCCCTGAGGTTTGGGAATAAGTTTATATGCCAGATGAATCAATTGATCCTACAATATACCACTCTATTATGCAACCCCCTCAGAGGAAGAATGGCACACAATCATTAGAACGCTTCCTAATGGAAAAGCTCCTGGACCATCTAAGATTTCCAATGAGATGTTAAAACACCTCGGGCCCTTCGCAGCTAAATGTTTCTGGATTATAATTTGCAGATGCCTGACGCTCAATCTAGCACCTAGCAGATGGAATCTGGCGTTTATATATCCAATACCCAAGCCAAAACCCTGGGAATATAATTTAACTAACACACGGCCAATTACATTACTC